GACCCTGCTCCTCATCTGGGGCAATCCAGAAGAAATGGTCACCCAAGGAAAGGACAGGCTGGATAGGGAGAGGTGAGAAAAGAGAAGAAACAAGAGCACTCTAGACAGAGACCATGGGACAAGGGAGAAAAGTTGAGACAAAAAGTCCACTGCACCCACAGTCAGTGACCACACCTGTGCCACAAGATAAGATACCAGCAGTTTTGTTTGCTGATGGGGAAATGTAGGTGGTCACTGACACAGCATTCAGAATTACACAGCTTTGAGAGTGGCAGAAAGTATAGTTCAAGCTCATTTTCAGCCATGGAAAGGTTGGAATTTCAAGTCATAGCCATATTTAAAAAAAATGAGCATTGGGAAATTGGCAGTCGGCCCTTATCTTCCATAAAAATATGACTCTACCTGAAAACAGCCATTGTTTCTTGCTCTTCCTTTACAGGTGGGAGATAGAGTTGATTAATGCCTCAAAAATTCAAATACTCACTGAAGTGCATTTATATGGCTTTAGATGTTGGCCTTTCCCACAGACGTCTGTGACCAGGATAACCAGCACTTTTACAGTCATCCATGTATTAGTCAATAACTTTCCAGCATTCTAGATCTGCTCTCACATCATTTGCAAAATCAGAAACGGAGGATAAACACAGTGCGCACTAAGTGACTACCAGTTCTCCCTTGGAGCCCAGCGGTTTATTCTCTGATCGCTAAAGCAGCTTATAGCAGAGTAATTTTCATGGTGATCACCAAGCATACCCTGCCAGAATGTGGCTCTTTCTTCAGATTAATCCATAATCTTTGGCAGTCTGGAATTATTAATAGTAGCGATTTCTAACAGCAAAATATTGCTATAACTATTCTTTCAGGTTTTATGACATCCATACCATTATGTCCTAAGGACCCCGAAAGCCACTTTTCACAATCCAGAGTTATATTTCTATACAGATGTAAAGCTTTAGAATATTTGTGAGAAACAGAGAACTTTAAATTTAAGGTAAAAATTACTGAGAATGGCAATTTATGATCATAGAATGGGTGCAGCACTAATTTGGACAAATGTGTTCCTGATAAGAATAGGGGCTGGAAAAGCAAATGAGAGGCAGTGTGAAAGAGACACAGCAATCAAATTAAAATAGCAAAAGCATATGACCACAGGATAGCTTTTTTGCAGTATATATTTAGGAGAGCAGGCATGGGGTAGCTGAATTGCTCATTTGGATGGCGAATACTTGCAATCCAAATCTCCATAAAATTCTGGCATCAGGATTCAAAGTTGGGAGGCAGGAAGGAACTTTCAGGGGTGCAGCTTGGGGAATGAACACTGGGACAGCACAAGACAAAAAAGGACGGCAAGCATGTCATATTTATTGGTCCGTTTCTGCTTTCATATTGGACAAAGAAATGGCCACAATACAACTCTGTACACCAAGGATGTGTAACTGTGATTCCCCCCATTTTCCACCCATGCAAAACTCTGATGGAAGCTTTTATGATGGTTTGGGTGCTGACAGACATTGCTCCTCAGAACAGATTCCCTGACATCTAATAACAGCTGAGCTTTTGTAGCTTTTTGGTGTGCGGCTGCCAATTTTGATTTCTTTATCAGCCACCCGCTTTCACAAAATTGAACTCACCTCTGAGTAAATTCAGACTTACCTTTGAGACCTGTATCAACCCTGACTGAAACTTGCTAACAAATCCAAGAATTATTTGGAACAGCCAGGTATCTAAGCCTTGATTCTTTAGAAACTAAATAAAAAAAAGAAAGAAACTGGAAAGGGAAAAAGAAAGAAACTAGACATTAGAAAATCTTACAATATTTTGTATGTACTGAGAAACTGAATTGGGTTAACCCAAGCACATCAAAGGGTAAAAGTCATTAGGATACCTTCAGAAGTCTGCAAAAGCCTCCTCCTCCACTCAGCTATTTCAAAAGCTTCAGCACAGGGGAGGTTCTGCAGCTGTGGAGTGCAGCTATTACACAGTCCTGTGCTCTGCAGTAATTTTCTGCATGCTGATGGGAATGGAACAGCAAGAGGTTTGAAGTCCAAAGTAATGCAACCAGTGAATCCTGGCTGCAATGGATCTTCCATCTGAAAATCCTATGTCTCAGCAGTTTGTAACTGGTTTTGACACCAATGGATCATTACTAAATTCTACTTTGATGAAAGCTACCTAACCAAAACACCACACTAACAGTCACTCTAAAGTCACATACTTAGATTTTGCAAAACTGTTTGCAAAAAGGACTCTTCTCCGTAATGCCTGAATGTACAAAATGAGCATGTAATATTATCTGGATGCAGTTTAAACTAACATATATGTATTTATTGTTCCAGCTATTTTGGGGTAGGGAAAGGAGTCGAAAAAAGTTACCTAGCGAGCTGGATATGACTACATTGGAATTAAGTTTTCTGTCTTTAATTTATAATTTAAACAATGAACTGAAATGAACTATAAGTTTTTGATCTCCGTCTTGAGGATCTCTGTGAACAGTATGTGATAATATACAGTGCTGAGACCACAACAGAGGAACTGGAACTTTTACTCAGGGGTGCATATCTCTTTGATTCAAGCATAAATGTTTCTTTATTTATTAAAAGTTGGCCTGGGGAAATAAAGAATTCTGGAGAAGAAATTATACATATTTCTGATCATGTTGTTATCTGTCTGAAGAAGAAACTACTATTCCCAAAACAAAATCAGGTAATTAAAAGTTATGCTTTGTGACTCCAGGATTTGAAAAGGAAAAATCACATGGCAACTAGTTAATGTCTACATGATTACTTTCATGTATTTTCTCAGGGTTAAAGTATTTATAGCCACAAACATATACATAACCACATAGCCACATATATATACAAAACCAAGAAAACAGCCTAAGGGAACACAAACAAAACCCCACCGCCCAGCACCTTAACTGCAGCATCTGCAAGCCAGCAATCATGGAATACTTGATGAAGTGCTTAAGGCTAGGAAGGCTGATAATGAGATTTCTTTTAAGTTCATAGTGCTGTACATTAAAGAGACACTGCCAACCTGATTCTGAAAGGAAAAACATTACATTGCACACACACGCTGTTTTTGTTTTTATAGAAGAGTCTTCATCAGCCTTTGCTGGTGTCTAGAAAAACAGGTTTAGTAAGCAGCATACTTGGTCCACAAGTTTTCCCTCAATATTTTTGCATTTTATTTGTCTTTCGTAACACTTCAGTTCTGATGCTGTGTCTGGTGAGTGCCCCAGAGAAGAGAGTGGTTCTGAGCTCCCACCCAGTCAGTGCAAAAAGCAGGAGCTCCCCAAGATAGTACCCTAAGCAGAATATACTAAAGGCCATCTGCACAGTGACAGTGACTGCTGCAAAGTACAGCATAAATAACCTGGAGCCAGATGATAGTTCCACCTCTCCTCTCCCTCTGGTCTGTTCAGTGATAGAAACCACCCCATTATTTGCTGCAAGATTAGATATGGTGTTTCCAGAATTACACATGAAATACCAACCTGAAGAAAAGTCTAGTTGACTTTCTTTATGTCTACCTTTAAATCCTTTTATATAAACCCAAATAATATTTTACTGGTGCAGAAGCCTTATACAGAGGGACTATAACCTTTCTTAAAAAACAGCATACGTGTAGTCTTAATGCTTATCCCAACATAGCTGCTTCCAGGAGCTTCTTTGCAAAACTGTCCTTCAGCCCTTTCTGTCAATCTTTCCTATTCTTAATGGGAGTGAAATGGTAATGCTGGCATATTCCAGCTGCCTGCATGGACTAGTCTGAATTAACTTGCCTGTTTTTAATATCTCCTGTAATTTTTTCTCAACACCCCCTGGGATGAGAAAGAACTTGAGCTGACAAACAGGTAGAGCATATACACAAATCTGTATTCAGGAAAAAAATACAGTCAAACAATATTAATGTTGCACAGTCAGTAATTAAAACTTGGCAAAGCTAATTTTGTAATTTTAGCTTTTAACATAGTTTTTACTTACAACATCACATATTTGTTTTTCAATCCTGATGTGGGTGATGAATCAGTTTCTGAACCAAAAGTGTCTGTTGTCTGCCAGACCCTTGTTCCCATTGCTGCTGAAACTGGAAAATGAACAGTGAATGACACAGGCGACTGCATGAAGAAACAGGACTGCTTCACAATTAAAACAGCAGAATGTTGTCCGGGAGGACTGGGGTCTGTTCTGCTTCTGCTAGAGAATTCCAGCAGAGGAGTTCTTATTGTGTTAGTCTTTAATTTCATACCCATCATTTTGGGTGGTGACTTGACAACCTAGAATTTGATTTGGAGACACACTCAAACAGCTGTAGCCCAGGAAGCAGGAACTGCTTTGAACATACAGAATGATACATAGCACTAGGTACTACCAGGAAAAAAAGAGATCTTAAGAATCACAAACGGAAATTAAGGGATACTTTTAATCTAGCTTAATATGCAGGTTTGACAATGTAATGCTGTAATTGCTACAGAAACTGGAAAAGAAGTGTTAAGCACTGTCTGTCCCTCTCCACATCTGTATGATGCTGAAGGGCTGCAGATGCCCGTGTCATGGCAAAAAGCTACTGAAGACAAAGGTGCTACTTCAACAGCATTTCCTGGCTCTCTCCTGAGCTGCAGACACCCATGCCTGGAGCTGGCAGGACAGGCACCATCCCTGGCATCCCCTGGTAGGGTCTCGTGAATGGTGTTTTGTCAGATTTCCTGCTGGAATGAAACATCAACACCACCACAATCGCCAAATATGTTAAAAAAGACTGTCAAAAGAATGAGAAAAGTGTTGCTGACTTCAGCTCACAGTAACCCCAGTACCATCTGACACACCAATCCACTGACAAAACCTTCAGTCATCCTTCCTCAAGGAGTATCAGTGGCAACTGAGCTGTTACTCTGCTAGTCATTTTCATCGCACTACAGGCCACAAACCCACCCCTGGACTTCAGAAGAGTGATTTCTACAACAATCTGTAATAGCCTTAGTGAAGGTTTGTGTCTAAAAAACACCATACATAAGAGATTCTTGAATGCTGATAGTACCTGGCTGACATGTCGTTGCAGAGAGAAATGAAGACTGGCGTCAGGTATGCCAAAGGCTGTGTGGCATACAACCTTCTGCACAAAGAAAACCTGGAGACAGCTGGAGTTTTTGTTAAACAAAATCCAGAGTAAGAGGATCAGCCTAGCTTTTGCACTCAGAGTCATGATCAGAGAAGGAAGGTCAGGAACTATTTCCAAAATAAACACAAGAGTCCATCCAAGAAAGCAGCACTAAGTATAATAATAATAATAATCTGCTACTTGTTTGATGAGTGCTGTGGCCTGTAACACATTTGGATTTCACCATTTAATCTTGTCATTATTATTATCATTGGTATATTAAAATCAGTAAAAGCCTTATCACTACCTGAGATAGTCAAAACGCATCTGCCTAATATCTGGCATCAGAATGCAGCCAACAGCCTGACCACCAAGTTGTGGCAAACAGAGAGCAAGTAAAAATCACACTAAAAGATCTAGAGGATCCACCCTGGAAAAGATGCACATGCAGCGGGTGACTTCAACTCACCATGCCGGTGACACAATGCCACTTCCAGGTACTCCCACTTCCAGCAACCCTTTCCCCCGTGGGTTCCCATGTACATCCTGCCAGAGCCGGTCGAGTGGGCACAGCTCGGTGTCCCTGGCAGTTTGACATCACCAAGGGGAGCTGCACCAGCCAGCCGGGAGAGTGAGTGCTACAAGCGTGAATCCTGTGTTCAGGCCTGACAGCTGCTCCTGTCCTGGGCTCCCTCTTGCCTTTTCAGAGTGTACAATTAGAGGCCTTTGATGGAAAGATTATATTTTGGCTGCTTTTTGTTTTGTTGCAACTGTTGCCTTATTTGTTTTATTCACCAACATTCACTAAAAAGAACCCCTCGTATTCAAACTCCCAGCTGAGCCTGCACTCCACGTCTCCTTGCCTAGGTAATCTGAACTCCCTCTGGACTTTTCTGCTTGGCTCTCTCCCATTTGAGACTGCTCCCTCATCCACTTGCCAGCACTAGCCACCTCTGCTGGTTTCTACTGCCAGTCTCTTTCCTGGAACTGCATTCTCAGTTCACCTTCCCTCTCCATCCCAGCTTCTCTATCAGTTTCTTTTGCTTGTGCCTCAGTTTCTTGGGCAGTTTGTCTCCTGCATCCTGTAGTCACCTCCATCATTCTTTTAGCCTACAACCCTAATATCCTTGTTCTGGATCCTTAGTCTCTGTCAGTAGTCATTTCCTTTGGTAGCTTCAAAACAGTATTCCTGACCTGCCAGTCCTGAATACCTGCCTTCTCTGCAAGTCCTGGTTTTCATCCCACATGCTCCTATTTCCAGTACAGCCTGCTGGTTCTCCACAGCAAGGCCTTAGACCTGGCTCTGAATCAGATAGCCTCTTCCTTCACATTGCCTAGATGCCAACAGAAAGGTCACTGAAAACACAGAAAAGTGTCCCTGCTCTCCCTTCGTTGCTTATCTCCGGCTCAGTGTGCAGCAGCAGGAAACAGCCATTATTCAGAAACTCTGTTTCCATCATGTCATCCCGGGCTGCAGCACATGCAGTGGCTTTGTATAGAGAGCACATGCCCAGGCTAGGAGCTGAGAGGGGCTGGAGTGCCTTAGTTGAACTGTGGGAATGATGCATGAACAACAGGACTGTAACTGTGAGAGGCATAAGCTTGCTCTGGGACAAGAGCTTGCTCTTAACCCTTAAGCAGTAGCAAGTGCTGAGATTTAAAATACCATAAAATTTGGCCAAATAAGAGTAGATTTTCTTGGGTGCAGTGAAAAGTACCTAACAAAAGCATTCCTTACTCAATTTCAAAGAAAACTTTCTCCATAAAAAGTTTGATTTTCTTTTTTCCTATTTAAAACCAACGTAGCTTTCCTACATTTAATTTCAGAAAATATTAAACACTTTGATATTTTCTCAGGTCAAGAAAAACATGATGCAGACCATCAGTATTGACTTCTCCAGTCTGAATCAGCGTAGCCTGGCACAAACAGCTGAAAGCTAGATCTTGTGTCAGAAATGTCAAAACCTGTGTAATAGGCTGTATGGGCTCTTTAAAAACTCAGCAGAGCTTCTCACCCTACCTTGTGCATGTGTTGGGAATCAGCTGAAGGGCTGATTCCCAGCAAGCAGATTTAAATAGGTTTCCAGCTTAGGGAGAGAAATGGATGTTTGTCTCTTAGAGGAGCTGTTCCCTCCCTCTCATCCCCCTCCCTTATATGTGCACGTACACTCACACAAAAAGAGCAAAATAGGAATAAAGGTACTCTCCAGGCAAAAAGACCATCCCTCTATACAGACAGAAGAGCACTTTTGGCAGACCTGAACGGCACTAGAGTTTAAGTGAGTTGAAAATAAAAGACTGATAATGAGATTTTGCTCTAGATCGGCTGGCTTGTGCTGGCAGGCAGCAAGCAGAGCCAGCCTGCTTACAATTTGCCCTAGATGAGCTAACCAAAAATAGAAACCAAGAATCACAGTGCCTTATCCATTCTAGAGAGGTAAAAATATTGACTTGGAAAGACCACCACTCAGGGACAAAATGACAGTTCTGAGTTGCATCACATGCCTTTCTCTCAGTCATGTTAAGAAGGTATTCATCTTTCAGTTGCAGAAAGAGCAGAGCTCCTAACTCAGCCTTCTGAAGAGCTGGCACATGAGGGGTCTATGGAAGGAAGAGTATGGCATTCACCAGCTCTGGTCAGACTTATGGTCCCTATTTTTCCTGATCTTGAGTGGCTCATAATCTTGTTGGGTCTAAATCACCTTTCACAGGTAGGCAGAGAGAAGGAGCCCTGGGAAGTGTGAGAAATAACTGCTTCACTCCAGAAGGAAGAACAGGTTTGCCAGTGGGTTTGTGCAGAAGACACTCATGATCCATTTCTTCTGGGTGCGAGCTTTGCTGCAGCCTGAGCTCAAAGCACCTCTGCTTGTACTCTGGAAGAAGTAAACCTGAGACTATCACACTACTTCCCACAAGGCATTTGCCTGTGCTTGAATCATCCAGAGACAATGACAGATGCTAAGGCACCTGGCACATATTAGGAAGCTGTAAACCTTGTGCTGTTGTGGCTGCCTGGTAAAGACTAAGTGCAACACAGCTGGGTGCAATCTTGATATTAAGGGTAAGCTTGACCATACCTTGCTAGGTGTAAGAGGAAGGTGTTGCTTTTGCTAAGTCCTGGAGGAAACTGTATATTATTTTCTGGAGTCTTTCTTGATATCTGGAGGAGTACATGGTTCTTAGTTTTTGTTCAGCAAACCAGGTAAACATTATTTTAACAATCTGATACAGAGTAAGTATGATTAATAATGACTGATAGCAGCTGGATTGATAATGAGTAATAAGCACTAATTTTTCAGCCTAGAAAGATGCCTCTCTACTACTCACTAAATGCACAAGTGCTAGAGTTTGGGTGTTAATGGCTCCTGCAACTTTGTTTAATTACAGAGACACCCACAGGGTTGGTAACTTTTGCCTGTTCTGAACTACCATCTCCCCAGTTCTGATATTCCCTAATTTGCAGCCACATACATAGCAACATTTGTGAACTGGGAGGGCAAAGTTAACTCCAAAGCAAATCTCTTTCCTTTGGAACAGACCGTGTGCCAAAGGCACTCAGTGTCAGCCACCCCATTTTCCTGTCAGCATAATATCACTGATTTATTAGAGAAATTTTAAACTCAGAATATGCCACAAATGTATGCCAGATTGTGAAAAAACATACACGTCTCCCTCTTCATTACTAGGTGCTGTGCTTTTGTGAGATTATAGATGTATATTTAGTGTTAATCTTGGTGTCGTGTCTGTACCTCAGCAGTTGGCTCTTTTCTAATGCATTTTGTAAAGGTTAAACTCTGTAGTGCAAACTGTACACGATAATTTATGATAATACTGGAGGGCAATCTGTTTTCCACTCTATAGCTGCACACTGCCCAAGGGGAAAGGAGCAGCGGGCTGTGCTTGTTGCCTTAGCTCTGGTTTGCACAGGTGTTCAGCACTCTGCCTTCTGGCTGCAAAAGGGGATTAGACAGGGTTTAGGGGAGAAAATGTAGGGAAATGAGAGCAGGCAATCAGATGGCAAATTAAAATGAAGCTATAGCTGCTTATTGAACCAAATTCTATTCTTCTTCAAACTTCTCCTGTCTGCCATTCAAAACCACATCTGAGACTGATGGATCTCATTCCCTAGCTTCTGACTTTGATCTCCCAGCATGAGAGTTCTCCTTAGTGTGTGAGTGGAAGACTAAGACACACATGCAGGATCACACTTACAAAACAGCACATTCTTGGCTTTCAGCCACATTCAAATTCGCTAATAGCACTAGTTTTCTGTAACTGCCAGGAGAGATAAAGCAAGCAGTGACATTTTAACTGTCTTGTGCTGCAAACAGTTCACGCTCCCAGAAGTTCAGCAGAATTCAGTGGAAGCCTAATTAGGGATGATACATCCTAAACTTCACTTTCATTATGTTTTTAATTCTTTCATAGTTCTTCCACAAATCCTGAAGTTGTTTTAAGAGAAACTTTAACATCAGCATTTAGCTCATGTGCAAGTTTCTTCAGAAGGATTGCAGACACCAGTTTTTTGTTCTTAGTTTCAACTGTAAGCGTATTTCTCCTCTCCAAACACTATTAACATATAATATTAATATTAAGTAGTATGAAGGATATGTCTGCTTTTGGTTCAGTGCAGTTTGATGGTAGTAGGTGCCTTGGTTAAGCAAATCCAAACCATTAAACAAGATTAAATAATATATCACTAGGTGTGCCCAGGATCAGGAGATGGCAGCAAAACCCTGAAGAGATGTTTGATTCTTCATGTCAGTAATAGAAATGTTTTAACTGCAAGCCAGAATTAATAAATCATTAACATGTGAGATTCTAGTAAGAAAAACAAGGGATTGTCTGACACTGATCATACAACAAGGAATTGTATGAAAAACGGTTGAATTACATGGACTGGAGAATTGACACCATTAAAACCTGAAACGGCATTCATAATTAATATAATTAACTTTCCAGAACAGGAACACTCCAAGTCAGAGAAGGCTCCAGCAGAACTTCTCAAGTTGGATGGAATAGTATCAATGGATGCATTGCAAGGTTCAGCAAATTGGACTGTAGCCTGATAATTAGACAAGTTTATATATAATGCTATATATATATATATATAATGCTATATATATATATATCAATGATATTGGATGCAGAATAGCTTATCAGATATGGTTTGGAAACATGATCATGAGGAAGACATCCAGGAAAGAATTCAAAGTAAAACAAAATTTGAAATGTCAATATAACGGGTAAATTGTTGTCAGGCGAATTGTTGTATTTCTGCTCAATGAACTTTATTCAGTTTCTGCTTCATAACTGAGAAATCGGTGGTATGAATGGCAGAAGGGATATCAGTGTGGTCTGCAGTAAGGAAAACTGAGACTGAGCAAGAAGAACAAGAGATATTTGGTGGACAAAATTGAGCTTTGTTATTTATCAAAGCTCTATGAATATTCAAAATAGCTTATGCGCAGCAAAACCAGCCATGGCAAGCTCAGTGAGCATGTAGGAGAATAAAAAGCTCAGACCTGAAGATGTCTGTCTACATCATGTATGTACCTTTATGATGGGGGGTTGGAAACAGATGATCTTGAAGGACTTTTCCAACCCAAACCAGTCTAAGATTCTGTGAGAGCTGGATCCTGAGGGGAAATGCTCATATACCAGAAAATCGTAAAGGTGGCTTCACAGAAAAATACCGAGAACTCTACAGACAGCAAAAGTTTACAAGTTGAAGGGAAAAAGCTGATGTATTTTTTAGATTTTTATAAATGTAATGAAAGAAGAGTTAAAATCACATGAAGTGCAGCTAAAAAAAATCAGAAGCTGCTAAGGGGACTCACAAGCAGATTGCTCATGAAGCTCAAAATATTGTAAGTCCTATTTCCTCAGGAAAATAACAACAAAATATGTTTAACATATTTTAATATTTATTCATGTTAATGTATTCAAGCTCCATGTGCCCTACATGAACATGACAGATTTCTACCGTATCAGTCAGAATTATGGAGTCTCCAGAGCTCTTCTTTGCTTTAACAAACTAGAATTCTATTACAGGTTGCATCTGTAATAGGAAGAACAGTCAAATACTGTGTACACATGAACGTGCATGTTCTTTCAATAAAATCATTTGCATAACTCATTTACTGTACCTAGATATATTTCAGAGTTTTGCTGAACAAGAAATTTCAGAGGGTTTTGCAATTATAATAGGAAAAAGTGAGAAAATAAAATAAATATGCTTTTAATAAATTAATCTGGTTTTACACATTTTCCAGTATCCTCAATTTGCAATGACTGAAACATTATATTTTCCAGTGTCCTCAGTCTGCAATGACTGAAACAGACTTTTTGCTGGTTCCAGTTCCATTCAGCCGGTCCTTCGTGCTAGCCACAAGCCTGTCTGCCAGAATTCTATAAAGATGAAACAGTAACACAAAAATCTAGCAAGCATTTACAATGCCTCTGGAAAATAAAAGATGCCTACAACTATTTATTTCACTTGCACCAACAATGCTGGAATTTGAGACAGAAAAAAATTGATAATATTGATTGTACTCTTATCAGACTAAAATCAAGGAAATAAAAAACTTCACTGGAGGCAGCTGTGTAAGTATTTTGGAACCCATTCAAATATATTAAAAAAAAAAATCCCTATTCGCTAGGAAATTTTCTAAATAAGTGTCTGGTAAACTCTTTTGTAAATGTAACGTGATCCAAGCTGCGTGCCAAAATCCGGAGAACACAGCTCAATGCTCTGAACAGAGTGGAAGACACCTGAGATTGCTCTGTTATTATGCAAGAATCTCAGGTATGCACAACAAAAGCAGCAGTGTCAGGAGGTGAAGCACACCAAAGCAGCTTCTGCACACGCACTGCAAAACATATTTAAACAGGAATTCTCAGATTGTCCCGTAGGGCTGGACACATTTTGAAGAGAAACTGGCTCAGTTGAACTTCCCATTAATGATCATGTAACATCTTTGTGCCAGATACAGCAATTGCCTGCATGGAAAAATAATTTTAGGAAAGTATTTAATATGTTTTAGCTGCCTTGTAACAACAACTTAGCAACCGAAGAGAGATGTGCCAACACCTTGTGATCAGCTAGATCTTTAGAGGCAACCAGGAAGATACTGTGCGTCCACAGTGCTCCACAGATGTGGTACCACCCGAGATGTCTTTCTACTGCTGCATTCCCCTGAAAGTGATATGGGATGCAGTTTTTGCAGATTTCCAACCATGTCAGCAAAGCAGAAGGCATTCTCTCAGCCATATCAGTCAAGTCTACAGTGTTTTGGGGACTAGTGTGTCTTATTTATTCCTGCCCTTTTCCACCAGAGAAACTCGTGGGAGAAAATTAAAGGGAGAAGGGCATTTAACCTGCCTAAATTTAAACCCATAGCCATCTTTTGCTAGTCTGTCTCTTAGATTTTCAGACTTGAGCTGATTTAATGATTTTGGGATGCTTAGCTCTTAACCAAAGTCATGCTGGAGAATGTCTTCTGGATATGGTTGTCTCCCTTGGGTTTAGAAAAAGCAGTGACCCGTGAAAGCTCTTCATTCTCTCCTTAGTTTCATCTCATTTGCTACCACGTGGGAGTGTTCAGTTTACAGGAGTTACTTCATTCTGGGTTTGTGGAGAATAAGCTCTTTTTCAAAACCAATGTAGGGCTCAACATACTCTTGCCAGACCCTACAATAGGAAAAATAAGGGTAATATGTGGATGGGTACAATGGCAATTCAATTTTCTGGCTGGAAGCCTTGTTTTGGAGTTTTGTTGCTTAGTGTCTGTCAGCACTTTCATCCTGAGGAATTTAAGTTTCTGCTACAACAGCCCAGACACAGATGAAAGTTTGCATATAAAGTATCAGAACTCAGAGCTGGTTTATTTTTATTAATTTTCCAAATGAGGTTAAGTCTTAAGATATGAAAAAGTCCTTGGGTGGTACTCAGCATAAAAAGAAGAAAATTATTGGCTTGGCGTTTGTTTAATCTTGTGAAAGATTTATTTAAAAGGAAAGTGAGATAAATACTTGAAATATGATCTCAAATGAAGCCCACAAAAATATGTATTCATCCAGAAACTGGGCTACATTTTGAGGTGTCTAGCACCTCTAGGCATTGTAATCACTCTACTGCCTTTGAGATAATTTATCCTAAAAAACCCCATATATGTTCAACCAGTTTCCTTTCAGGAATGCTTTAGCTGCTGATGGATCACAAAAGGAAGGATCACATCCCAAGTCTTTGAAGATATGGGTAAAAAGGAAGTAATTGTTAATGATTTGCTGATCTAAACCAAAATTATTGACAACATAATAAAACCATGTAATCCTGTAGTGTGCCAAAAACCCACAATTCTAAATTGAATAGGAACAAATGTCAGAGGTCAAACGAGATTAGCTGCATCATACACTACACAGCTACATATGCCTAGTAATAAATGACCTGCCCCAAGAAATGAGAGAAAAATTGCAAGAAACTGATAGTCCTTTAGAACTGCTTATGTGTCTCAATGAACTTTTGGCACTGTCAAACACTTCTCTTGAAATGTTACTTGAAGACGATGCAGAACATCCCCACAAAGTACGGGAAGATGAAAGCTGTCCAAAGCCACCTGTAAAGATGTATTTTGAGATTAGCCAACAACTGTATGAGTACAGCCTGGTATAGACGAGGGCTGCACTCTTGCAAGCTGACTGCCCTCTGCACTAAATGTTGGTTTCTGTGGACATTAGACAGCACTGCTGTTGCAAACATATGTATTTATAATACCAGTGTATTCCCCTTCTTGGAAAAGACTGGAAGAATCCTCGGCATGTTTCGTTATATGAAAAATAAACCTGTTAAGCATAGATTCACTGAATGAGTCAAGTCTCTTCATTTCACACCCAGGTAGGACTGCAGACTTCTGGGGAAGCCACCGCTGCGTTTGATAGCCCCCAAGCCCTGTTCATCTCTCAGCCCTACCTTACAGCGTTACTCGTCCTGCGCCCTCCTGAGCTCACCCTCTGCAGACTTCACAGATTCACTGTCTCGGTGTGTGGCTCCGGAGCTCCCCAAAGCCAAACCAAGGCCAAACCCAAACTCAGGGTCACACGTTTCGTGAAGGCCGCCGCTATTCCCCGGCCACTGCAGGGCAGCGCCGTATCTGTACCTGGGCCACATGCACCCCCCCCAACCCCGGACCCCATCCGCCCCCTCCCGCCGGTCCCCCCGTCACAGGGCGTCACGCGACCCCTGCGGGGCGGGCAGCCGCCTTCCCCCGCGGCCAATCAGTGTTCGCCTTTGCGCGGTCCTCCCTGCTCTAGCCAATAGACCGCGAGCTTTCCCGTCGCGTGTGTGTGTGTGTACGGGCATTGGGGTGTTGGTGTCGGGGTCGGGCCTGGCGAGCAGCCGTTGGGCTCCACGAGCCGCGGAGCTCCGCCCCGGTGGGAGGGGCCCGGTTGCGCCCGGCCCGGCCCGGCCCGGCCCAGCGCGGCAGCGGTGATGGGGAGAGCGGCTCGGCGGTTAGAGTGAGGTTGTGGCGTGCTCGTCGCCACCACCCGGGAGTCCTGGCCGCAGGTAGGAGCCGCAGTGCCGTGGGGTGGTGCCACGAGCGGGGGTCCCAGAGTTGGCGGGGGTGTACCACGTTCCCCCAGAGCCAGGGCGGGGGGCTCTGAGAGGTGCGATGGGGCTGCGCTGTGCCGGTGGGACCGCGCTGGCGGTGTGGAGGGAAGGGGGCTGGCTGGCGACTGAGGGGATGAGGCAGGTGGTGGGCTATGGGCGCTCGGCCCCAGGGTTGTGTGTGTGTGTGTGAGGAGGGTCTGTGCCCCCCGCGCGGGGCGCCGGTTTCAAGATGGCCCCCTCCCCCTGACCGCCCGCCGCCGCCCTCAGGGGGAGCCCCCTGGGCACGTGCGAGGCGCCGACGGGTGGGTACCGCCGGGCGGGGGCTGCCCTCGGGCTGAGGAGGCGGCGGCGGAACCGTGAGGGGGGTTTCGACCCTCGCCCGCGGGGGCAGGCCTGGAACGGAGACACCCCCCCGCTCAGCGGGCGCCGCGGTGACATCCACCTCGGTGCGGAGAGGTTGCGGGGAGAGGAGAGCTCGGTCACGGATGGTTCTCGGCTGTGCCTCGCTTTTAAACCCTGCCGGGCTGTCGGGAGGAGGTGAGCAGAGCTCTTTAATAGCGAGTAATGGATGTGACTGGAGCAGTCAATGACATCAGAGTACGCGGTCGGACTCGGGAGACCTGTAAACTTTAATTTATAGGTTATCAGTACCGTGAGGTGTTTCTATGAATTGGCTGAGAATAACTTAATTCATCTCTGAAAACAGCTTCCTACTGATATCGTTAATGCCTGCGTTGAGCAATAAACAGCACTATTAATTTGGCGAGTTGGAGGCGAGGAACGTAAATGATGATATTTTATGTAAGAGCTTGCAAGAGCAGTAGGTGCCTTTGCATGCTACTTCTGTGCTTTCACATCTGCATCCCGGGCTTTGCTTTATTTAATGCGCATTTATAACAAACCACCTTTCTGCATTTCCAGAGGTTTTTTCTGACTTGATTTCTCGAACAGCTTGGCACATCTTTGCCTTTTAGTTGCTCTAAATAGACTGGAATAACTTCAGGGGCAATAGTTTCCAGTGATTTTCAGAGTTCTTCCTTTTGAAGGAGGCTGTGTAGTCTGGACAGTGGTGATTAGCATCTTTAGACCTCATGATTATCTTCAGTATTTGAATTCAGCATTTGTTTTTTACAGTTAAGTTTTTTGGATGAGGTTTAGAGTTCTTATTTTAAGTTTACTTAGGTCAAGAGCCTCATTGTAACGAGGCATGTTTTTTCTGTCAAACCTGTCTTTTGTAGGTGTTCATTTTATAATATAGCAATTAAAATTTTGGTATAAGGTATTGTCATCATCCTTCAGGTCCCTCTTGCAGAGGAATGTTTACATCTTGGCTATATTTACAAAAAGATCTTTACAGCTAGCTTATTCACTTACTGAAAGTATTGTTTGCTCTACTTCATGTGGATGTTCAAATCTTTAATCTCACTTAGAATTAACATTCGAATTTTGCTAGATATCAGTGTTTGGATTGAATAAGGAGTTTTTTTCTTTATTCAGAATGGGTGATTGCATCTAGCTTCTAAAAGCTGTTTTAAAACGGCAGTTAATTTAGGTTTTGGGATTTAATCTCTTCGAGCACTGGGATGAATGAATGAAACTCATCAGTTTCAAGAGTGCCTGTTTGTTCATTGAAATGGAAAGGATTAAAGTGGTAACCGAAACAGTGAAAAGTTGATTTAAATTATGTCAGACTCAGAATAGCTTTGGGCCTTAAATGTGAATGTGTTTTTATGTGTACACTTAAGAGAAGACATAGGAAATCCCAGAGCTGCAGATTGCTGTCAACTGGCAAAGTGCATCAAGGAAAGACTGCGGTATGTTTACTCTGTTCTTGTTCTCTTCTTCAGGCACCTATTAGCAGTCCTTATGAGACATGGGATATTGTGTTAGATGGATCTGGGACCTGAGCTAGTACGGCATTTTTGTCTGTTTTAAAGTGTTTTCTGTGTAGTAGGATGCCGTTTTGAATTTAGATTTTAAGTTAGGCAGGAGACAGAGCTGCAAGTTACTAAGAGTATAGTATAAAAGTCAATACCAGGTATGGATAAAGCAGGCTGATGAATGTACAATTACTTTGGATGCTTATTTACATTTTTGTTAACATTCATAGGACATCCCAACTCCTGATAGGAAATGGTCACAAGTATGTTTTGTAAGTGGCAACTTCCCGTGCTTCCCCGAGTGCCCTGTTGGGAGTACTGTGCTTCTCACGAAAACGTTGTTGGAATCTGCTGCAACTCCCAAATGTTCTTATGATGTTGTAATGTTTTTTTTTTTCACTGAAACCCCAACCTTAGTTCTCCTTTTCTGTGCCAAATATCCCCTTTTTATGTGGCAAGTCCCTGGGCATCTGTGAGCCTTTCATTTATCTCTAGCGTATGAAAAGGAGCGAGGGGTTCTACATAAAATAGTTCAGTAGCATGTTCCTTCTAAACTGTTTCTTCTGTGTTAAGGTTTACTGTCGAACTTGCTATGATAATAAGTAAAAGCAGGGAGAAAATCCAGTCTTACTGCTTGCAGAGTGTCTGTTAGTTGTCTTCTAGAGTATATTTTGGAAAATTGTTGTGGTGAATTAGCAAGTTTCACTGTCTAGAGCTACGTGAATAATGTGTGGGAGTCACAAAAGCTTCCCACATAGTTGTGGTAATTCAGTTTAACCCCAACCTGTGGTGTATATACTCTTCCTTCAAGTGACCCCATCTCTTGAAAAGTTTTGATCCTGATTGCCCCTGTTTTCTTTTTCATTCAGGAAAAGAGACAGGTCTATTAACAAAGTTCATTTATACCTTTGAGCAGATCATGGGTGTTTATATCGCACAGTGATATCCAATACAGTGCTTTCCCCTGTAGTACGAAAGTGGAGACAAGGAGCAAGCACTTTACAGTGCAATACCCCTAGCATCCTGTGACAGTTCAGTTCACTAGCTCTGCCCCAGTTCATGCTGACTGCATGGCAGGATTGAGACAGAGAACAGCTCTGACTCCACATCTGCATATTTTACAGAACCATTTTGAGCTTTACCATGAGGTATTTGGTAAATTCTTTGACAACTGAGTTTTTGAAGACGGAGATAATTGATAGCAGTACATTGACATGGTCTTTATTTCAGCTAGCAGCCTTGCACTTAGAGGAAAACCAGCAGAAAACAAAACTAGTGCATGTCTGAAGATGCACAAAACTTTGGTGTTTTTGAATACCTATGCTTGTTATGCTTAGCTACCAAAGAAAACAACTTGAATTTTCCTCCCACTTTGGAAGGCTAACAGATTCCATGTGTTCTCAAGCAACAGCATTAAGCAGACTAGTTTCCAGGAGTTCACGTTTTGTCCTGAAAATGGTTTATTAACCTACATTATGAATCATGGGTAGAACCAACCTTATTCTCCCAGTTGTTAGCTCTGGAGAAAAGATGGGTTGCAAATAATGAAAGGGTTTAAGTATATTTAATCTCTTGGGATCACATCTTGTTACTGTGACCCATATCTTGGGTTTTGTCACTTTTCTATTCAGCCATGAAGGCTAATGTGATCTCACTATTGCTGTTCTTATGTTACATACGTGAAATAACAGATCAAGTTAAAATCCAGAGTAGCCCCTTGAAGTATCTAATATTTTAATAGAAGAAAACAAACAAAACCTAAATAACCCTAAAAACCCAGGGTTTCGCTAGTTTCAAAGAACAAAAATACAAGCTTACTTAGTTCTTAACCTGTGTGAAGTATAGCCAGTGATGTAAACAGCCTGCAACCAAAAGCTCCTGAAATGAATTCATTGTATACATCTTCAATGACACCAGTATTTAATCATTGAAGCAATCAATAAACTTGAACTACAAACTGTGCTATAGAACTATGAAACTGGAGATGTGAATGTAGTATTTTGCAGGTGCAGAAGAGAAGGTGACATACAAACATAGAAAGACTAGGCCATATTGATGTTTTCAACTGTGTTTTGGCTTTCTGTTGGGTGCTTGCCACGCATGTAACGGGGCTGCCGTGTTTCTATTCCCTGCATGCATTCTGTGGTCTGCTGCACCATTTGTGCTCCTGCAGTTTATTGTCAAGAGGAGACATGAGGTGTTTCCAGTTTATACAAGGAGCAGGCAATGCACAGTGCCAGGTGGAGTGTTGAAAGAGACATTTGCTGAGTGGAAATGCATACAGCTAGTAATGGTTTTATGGTTATTGCTGACTTTGCAAAGCAGAGTGATTAGCTACCATGAAGCAAAGAAATGAGAATCTTTACTACAAGCATGAAATCATAAGTGCTTAAAAGGTTTTTCAGAGTGGACCCATTAAGTACAATGGGAGAAAGCTTACACCTAATGCTTTGTACCAGAACTTGCATGTTGTTTGCATATAAAATGTGATTATATTTCTGTGAAGTCTTATGGATATTTCTACTTTAGATAAATGCTATCTGTAACCATTTTGAAATAATAATTTTGCTTAATTACTGCTTTAAGACCAATTTGTCTAGGACCAGCATGGAGGCAGAACCAAGTGTGTAACTTGAAATCCCCTCTCCCCCTGGCTTAAATCTCTTCTGACTTTTTTTTTTTTATTTATGCAGAGCTTCATAGCAGAGCAGTGGTTGGGAAGTTAACTACTTAAACCACACTCCTAACATTTAGAATATAAACATGAAAGTACATAATATTTCTGACGCTGACTAGCACTGGCAGCACGCTATTATTAGCCTTTCTTCTTGCAGGCTTCATAGATTCTCAGCTCCACAGTCTGAAAACTGCATCCTGCGTGCCTGTTGAAGTAAACGTGGTCATTCAGGTATGGTTTCCTTATGATTACTCTTTTGCCCACTGGACTAGGCTGTTGCTTTTTTTCAGCAGTCCCAAATAATGTGTGGGTTAGTATGAAAGACCAAAACCAATTTTTTATAACGTTTAGTATTGTTAAATGAAGCTGTGAAACACCCTTGTATTGCTATATGGTCTAATTATTCTTAATTGTGTGTTGCTTTATTGTCTTGTAAAGGCAGTCTCTGTTTTTTTGAGTCAGGAATGACTATTTTCTTATGCTATTTCATTATGTATGATGGTATAAGTTTTGAAAAAGAAAGTGGGTATTGGTAATACAGCCAACAGCTGATGATTGACTACAAAACACACTGCACTATTAGTTGTATAACAAGTTGAAGTTAAAAGTAAAGTAGAGTAAAACTGGTTCAGAACTAATAATTAAGTCTCAGAACTTGGAAATCTACACATCCATTTATGTAAAGAGCATAGGAAATCTTTATTACATTTGTAATATATTGTGTGGTGGACTGAGCTTGGCTCCAGCAAATGAAGTTGTTTCAAAAGGAGCAATGTCATTTCAGATATGAAGTGCAGAGCTGCTGTTGTGCACATAATGCGCTATGAATGCTGTCTTAAGAAACGGACTTGATGTTGCTGATTATAGAGTGGAATATAATGATTTCACACATTACATGTTGTCAAATCAGAAGCTTCAACTGGCAGATGGAGAGGGGTTTTTGTGTTAAACACCTTGCAAGTTCAGCTCATAGAAAGCCTTGCTGCTTTTTTTTTTTGTTTGTTTGTTTTTTTGTTTTTTTTTTTTTGTTTTTTATTTTGTTTAATCCACTGTCCAGAACAGTTGCAAAAAGAGAACTGATCTAAGGAAACAGTTTTAAATTTCTTTTCAGAGGTTTGACAGATACAGTAATGAAGGTTTTCAATAGCTTAATGGATTCTGGGATAGAGATTTTCAATGAATGGCTGTTCATGAGCAGTTAATTATCTCATTGCAATCTGGGTCATTGGGAAGATGTGAACACAGTTAACTTTTGTGTTAGTATTGCATTGTAAAAAGGGGAAAGTTGAAGCTGCATCATTTTTAGACTAGCAGTACTGGGGAAGTGACTAAAACCAACTTCTGAGGGAGCAGCTTGCTCCCTTGCTAAAGTCTAATGAGGATATGAAATCGCTATTCTCTAAG